CCTAAATTTTTAACGGTGGGGTACTTAAATGAAATAAAAAATAAACGTTAGGTATGATTTTGAAAATAATAAAAGTTTAGGTACTAAAACAGAATAAAAGTGATAATTTGGGTACTAAATATGCACTTCACCCTAATTTTTTAAACTAAATTAAAAAAAAGAAAAAAAAAATTAAAGTTGTATGATGAAAACATTTATATGATACACATAAAATGTATTGTGCTATTCTTAAATACAAATGCAATAAGTATAAAATGTATTGTGTTATTTATCAAAATCTATGCTAATCTAAAATCTCTTACCATATGGGCTCAAATTTTCCGAGCAAAGGAAACAAAAATTAAATAGAGAGAAGACGGACATGCGGTATGAAGACTGAAACAAAAATTGCAATGGCATTATTTGCTCCTTAATTAATTTGATTGAAGTAAAAGCTGAAGAATCCTGATCTTGTTTTAGTCGCTTAGGGACTCGTCGGCACCTGGTCATTGTTCCGTGTTTCTCTTCTCAGGCTCAACAGCTGCTTCGGTGGCCGCGGATGCGACGCCATCTAAACCCAACTTTTGCAGCTCCTGTGAAAGCCTCCGTGTCTTTGGGATTCATTTTGTATGGGGTGTGCGAAGAACCGGGGAAAGTAGGAAACCCAATTTGATTAAAAATAGAAAATTTTATTAAATTATATTTCTATTTTATTTAGTTTTCTTTTGTAATCAAATATCTATCCCTATATATAGATACTAAGGGTCAATGTTAGATATCAAGTTTTTCTTTCACCAAAATAATCTTGTATTTTATTCCTTCATATTAGTGAAATTCTTCTCATTTTCCCGTGGTTTTTTCTTTTTGGGTTTTCCACGTTAATCTTGGTGTTCTTTGTTTTTCATTTTCGATCGTGTTTATTTGTTTGTCGATAATCATCATTCTGATATTATAACAAATTGATATCAGAGCTTTGGATTCAAGATTATGACAACAATGAAGTATGATATTACGATATTGGATCGAAACACTAGGTTCTCGCTATGACAGATGAAGATTCGGGATGTTATTGGATAGTTAGATCTTGACGATGCAATAGAAATATTTGATGAGAAGCCAGTAACACAATGGACGAATGAGGAAAAACGTAAATATCATAAAGCTCTTTCTTAGGTTCATTTACACTTATAAAATCAAATTTTACAGGATGTGTTGAAAGAAAAAACAGCTGCATCTTTGTGGGCGAAATTGGAGCAACTTTGGATGCAGAAATCATTGACATGCAAGTTGCACCTAAAGCATTGTCTTTATTCGCTCAAGTTGGCGGAATGTTCGTCTCTTGAAGAGCATCTGACCGTATTCAAGGAATCTGTCTCTGATCTAGAGACTTTAGAAGTGAAGTATGATCAAGAAAACTTAGGATTGATCATCCTATGTTCGTTGTCTCCTTCCTACTCATCTTTCAAAGATAAAATTTTGTACAGTCACGAAACACTCACTTTTGAAAAAGTTTAAAATGGCTTGCACTCGTTTGACAAGATGAAACATCTTGTATCTGGTTCCGAGCCCCAAGCAAATGGTCTCGTGATACAAGAATCGACTAGCTCAGACAATGGGAGAAAAGGCAAGCGTTCTTCTGATAATATTGGAAGGGATAAATCAAAATCTTCCAACCAATGTAAAACCTGTCACTATTGTAAAAAGAAAAGTCATGTTAAATCGGAGTGTTACAAGTTGTAAAATAAAATCAAAAGAGAAGCTAAAGAGCAGAACTTTGGGAAATCTGGTTAGATCGCAAAAATTAAAAGGTTGAATAATTGTTGGAATAAAGCAAATGTAAATATAGGACTGAAATGGATAAAATTAAAATGCTTATATTAAAGGAAACAAAGGATAAAATTGCAAGAAAGTAAAAATGCTAGGGGGTTAGGAGCAGAATATGTCAGTGGGTTAGAATAATAATTAATAACGTTAAAGGGTTAGAAATGCAATAAGAAAAAAATAAAAAGATGGTGATCATTTTGTAAAAACACGCCTAAAGTTTAGAGACTTATACGTGATTGCTCCTAAGATTTATCACCCAACCCACTAATAGAAACAAAAGTGTAACATAGCAACACAAGGACATGCATTTCGAATTAAAGCTAAAAGAAAGAAAAATTTGGTGACCAAATTGGAGGAAAGCAAAGAAAGGGACCATATATGTAATAAACAAAAATTTAAGGACTTGTAAGCTGATTTGACCAAAAATCCCCAAAGCACAAATGCTCTAGGGTTCACTCGTGAAACTTCGTTCTCTCCTTTTATTTTTTTTTCTCCCAGCGTCGTTCTCCTCTTATTCTTACCATTTCTTCCTCTTTTTTTTTACCTAAACACAAAAGAAACCCAATCCCTTACAATTTTTTGATCAAACAGAAAACTTGGCCAATTTCTTCACATGTTCATCAACTAAATCCTTATTTGACTCGGGAAAACACGAAAACACCCTTCATGTATGATTTTTCGAATCAAAGCACTAAAACTAAACAACCTCAATCCATGTTGTTCATCTGCTTCCTCTACCAAATCTGGAGGTAAATGACTACCCTCCCTTTCTCTGTTTGGTTTTCGAAAGAAAATAGAAAAAATAGTTGCTTTTTCCTTTTAAAAAATAAGCTGAAACCTAGATAAATGAAGGTAAAAATATCCTTGAAATGTTTGTGTTGCTTTGGATTTCAGAGAAAAATTGAAGAGAAATGGTCTATCTTACATTGTTTCTTGGGGGTTTATATAACCCATATTACAGAGAAAAAAAGGAAAAAACTTTATTTTTACATTTCATTTTTGTTTTTAGGCATGATACATTACATTCTTCAAAAAATTATAATTCTTTGACATAATCCTGACAGGCTTCATGTGATTGACATAATTGAAATCAATTAACAAAAAAGTTATCATGCAATCTTAAGAATAATCAAAGACAATAATGAATGATGAATGCAATATTTTATGTTGAAAAAAAATTTAAAATATTAAAGATGATCGAATTTGTAAAATTTAAAAAAAAAATATATTATGAATGGAAAATATAAATAAATATTTAAAATATATAATAATTTAAAATTTTTACGAGCGGCCTCTTCCTATCTATCCATGTGAGTAGTTGTGATCATAACCTACAACAAGGGCATAGTTTTATTGGGGCCCAAAGAGGCTTCGACCTCTATAAAAAAATTTATATTTAATAGATTTTGATATAATAATATTTTAATTTATGTAAAAATAAGTATTTAAATTTAAAAATACAAGAATTTGTTAAATATTTAATCAATTAGAAGCTGAACTAAAGATTGATAATCCAATATTCTCGATGTTTTCGATCTAATAATAATTTAGGTCATTGTAAGTTTAAATATTATACAAATTAGACATTGTTTTCTAAATTTAAATTTTAAATACCTAATAAATCACTATATTTTTCTTAAAAAATTCAATATTTTAGCCACTACCAATATCTAATTATGGTTTTGTCCCTTCCCTACAAGTGACACCCCAATTATATAAACTCTTATGACCAGCATAAAGGGAACGTGAATCTTTATCTTCTTCATCAATTATTTTCTTCCTATACACTTCAAAAACCATGTGACTTTTGTATGTAATTCCACCACGAACAATCGAGTAATTATCGATAAAATAATTGACCTATCATTTACTGTCTTCAACTCATCATTCCTCCAAAAATCATCGCTTGCGATTCTCCGTTCAAATTACAAAAAAGAGATAAATTACCTTAAATTGTTAAAATCGAGGGCGACAATGACTCCACCTTAAAGGGTAGACAAGGCTACTTCAAATGAGCCATCATTAGAGGCTTCGAATTCTCCAACCGATAAGCATATACTTGGATTTTGGACAACGTTAAAGGTTTATCACAAGTTATCTATGTTGGTGGTAAAAGATGACGACACACCGTGATCGAACAATAAATTAGACATCAAGATTTTATGTAAAAAATTCTTTCAAGAAAAATCATAGACATAAAAAAGATTTTCACTAATTTAAAAATTAGAAGAATACAAGAGTAATACATATTAAACAACTTAACTCCTAACTCTAATTTCTAGTATGTAGTTATAGAGATAATTACTTGATTAGAAGGAAAATTTATTTAGTAGAAATCTACTTAAACTAGTATTTTTTTTACTTTTTATCAACATAAAATAGAATATGCTTCGCACTTTCAATCAAATTATGTTTTCCATTTTCTTAATTTTATATAGTTAAATTATGTTTCTTACTATTATAGTGGGTTTTTATTTTTCTCACCTGTAAATATAAGTATAATTGAATCACATTAAATCTTATCTCTTACATATGCCTTATTTTATGTTAATTTCGCTATGACTAGTTTTCTGCTTACAAATTTCTGACACCAAGAATTAATGTAACACATATTTCTTTAAATATATATATATATATATATATATATATATATATATATAACTTGTACGAACCAACTTACATCAGTGGTTAAATAAATCGTTGTTATTGTTAGAGGTCACGAGTTTGAATACAAGCTCTTGTAGTAGGGGAGTGGTGGAAGCCTCTCGGGAAAGGTAAACTGGTAACTTTGTTTGTTCAAAATCTTCCACCTGCAATGCAATGGAGTGGCATGAGACAAGTATTTGGGAGACATGGCAACATTGTTGACTCGTTCATTACAAGTAAGTTGGATAGGGTAGGAATTAGGGGGTGTAAACGAACCGAGTTGAGCTCGAGTACTACCGAACTCAACTCGAACTCGAAAACTTTAAATGTAAACTCAACTCTACTCGAAAACTCATAAGCCTAAAATTTTCAAGCTCGACTCAAACTTGAAATATAATATTAAAACTCGACTCAAACTCGAAAAGACTCAAACTCAAAGAAAATTCAAGAGCTCAATTGAAACTCAAAACTCAAGCTCGATTTTAAACTCGAACTCGATTGAAGTTTGATTTTAAGCTCGAACTCGATTGAAGTTTGATTTTAAGCTCAAACTCGATTCAAGCTCAAACTCACCCATTACCACAAATTATAACGTAGGCTCTCCAATTGTGAGGATACCTAAGGCGAGCACTCCTCCCAAGTGCAATGGAGGTCGCTTACCTAGGCCATGAACCTTGATGATAGTCCATTGACCCGACCAAATAAGTATGTTGAGAGGAGGTAGTTGCCTTTTATTTATAATGCCAAATAAGTGGTCCACTCATGTGCTTCCCCAATGTGGGATATTGCTTCAGCATAAAATCACTCTTTACTCAAACTACTAATGGTTTTTCCCATGATTTGCCTATATTCCCACCTGGTAAGCTGCAATTTTATGCATGTTGGATTAGTTTTCTGCTATGCATCCAGAAATTTGTATGCTTAAGACCTTGAAGTTGATCTCTTATCTAGTTTTATTGTTGATGCGTATCATATTTGTTTCCGTAAATTTATGAAAAATCGACTATAAAAGAAGCTCTGCAACTGGCATACATTTGGTCGTTCTGATTTGTTGATTTTGATCCAAGTTTTCAGAGGACTTATAATCTGCGTAGTTTTAATATGATGGAAAATCAACTAATGATTTTCAAGATCATGATATGATTTTCCATCATATTGCTTGAATATCAATCTTTCTGTTTTCATGAGCTTCATGATAGAAATTCATAGGCTGTTATCATCAAGTGCAACTGCCAATATTTTTTCATTTTGATTACTCTTTTCAACCAGGTCCGAGTCACACACAAACATCCTTTCTTTAAGAGAACTGAATGGAGTAGTTTAAGAGATCAAACCCCTCCTAAACTTGCTTTAGACAGAGGGGTATGATTGCAGACATGTTTTTAGTCATTATTTACAGTGGAATCCAGCTTCTCTTTGCATCTCGTATTTCAAGAGTTTTAGAGTTTTGTTGTTATCTAATAATTTTAGGGTCAATCAAGTAAGGGAAAAGATCGTCATGATACTTTAAGGACTCCTTCGCATGTTAGAGCTGGTTCGGCTCGACAAAATGACATAAACGTTGGCACCTCATTGCAAACTGAATCACCTGGCCGTATACATGGATCTGCCTCTATTGAGTCCTTCGACTCGAAATGGTATTTATCAATACTCTTTTTTATATTCTTAGCTCGTGTTCTTTAATGTTAGAGCTGAATCATACGTATTTTCAACTCGGCGAAGCAAGTGTAGAGGCGAAGCAAGTGTAGACTGAACATAATCGATTTCACCATGAATCATTCAGTTGGAAATAATTGTTTGCATATGTGTAATCGGGTTTAGGGTAACAACAATTTATAAAACTAGTTATTAAAAATTTTATAAATTAATTTCATTAATTTATCAAATTAACCCCTTTCACATAATTAGATTTATGGTTTGGGGTTTAGGGTTTTAAGTTTAAGGTTAGATTTTGGGTTTTAAGGTTTTGAGTATCGGATTTAAGATTTAGGATTTATGATTTAAGGTTTATTGTTTATAGTTTAGAGTTTAGGTTTTAGGGTTAAGGTTCATTACAAATACATTAATTAATCGATTTGATATCGATTTATGAGGTAAGTATAATATAGTATCTTGATATTAAATGCTAAAATTAAAATTTGAGGGTAGTTGTATTATAAATTTTTTTAATATATTTTTAAAATTTTATAATTATTCAGTAATGTATTTTTATTATATTTTTAATAATGTAATTTTAAATAATATAAAATTATAATATAATATTTTTTCGAGCTGCTCACGAGTTTTTCGAGTCGAATATCGAGTAGCTCGTTTTGGCCCGTTAAGAACTCGAGTCGAGTTCATTCGATCCGAGTATTTATCGAGCCTTAATCAAATCGATCTGGAGTAGCACGAGATTTGGTTTTGTTCGCTTTACTAATAGAACAGATGTTTTCAGAGCAATGGAGAGGTTGAATGGATTCAGGTTTTATAACTTTCGGTTATCGGTGACATTAGCAAAGTACAATGTTATAGAAGTGGAGAAAGTCCGTCCAGTTTGATAGGCAGAAGCTGAAGAGAACCGAGTCGGATGAAGGCTATACGTTAGCAGATATCATAAAGGAAATATTCCAGGGCCTACTGGAAACTTGAAGGTTAATAAGAGTAAGTCTGGTGTTAATAGTCATAGAGATCTAAGTGCGCTTCAAGAGGCGAAAAGAAGTAGGATTATCGGGTATGTTGAGGAGGAGGAGCTATTGAAGATGAAGAGCTGTCAGATTGGCGAGAAGTCTGTAGTGTGTAATAATCGGAGTATAAGGGATAGGTTGCATAAATGGGGTCTTGGGGAGGTTAAAATTTATCGTATGGGAAGAAAAACATTCTTGATAGTCATTGACGATGAAGATCTTTTCCTGATGCTAAAAAAGCTTGACTGGTCGTATCTTAAAGAAATTTTGCAGAGGTGAGGATGTGGTCCGAAGTGCTGTATCAAGCTCCAAGGGCTACCTAGATCGACATTTTTGGTTTCCCTCTTCACTGCTGGAACCAAACTACGTGTAAAAGAATAGCTGAACTTTGGGGTTTCTTCGAAGCCCTAGGGGAAAATGGGTTTCACACGATAGATTGTGAAAAGGTTTCGGTGCTAATTACTACTGCTTTTGAGAGAAGAATTGAAGAATTGGTTGATATGAAGATTGATCACATCATTCATTCGGTTCGAGTTTTGGAAAAAGGATTCTCAGATGGTACAAATGATATCTGAAAGGGAGTCGAATTAGTGTCAAAGTCTGCAAAGAGTGATATCAACGGTGAGGAGAGTCCACTGAATTCTTCGTCAGAGGAGGCTGAGGATGATCAGAGTCCGTCCGGTATGGATAGAGAATTAGTTGAGGGAGACAAAGATGCTTCGATTTTCAAAAAAGGGTCTAGAAAATTTTGTCAGCCCAGCTGGTGGCTCTTTGGACAATTAGAGTTTAAGCACAATGAGTGTTGAATTGGAGCAAGTGAAAGGTGATGTGGGTGGTTCCAGAAATATGGAACGTCTAATTGAAAACAATTTTTTGACTGTAAGCTGATGGAGAATAGGGTGGACCTAAGAATGAGGTAAATTCTGAAGAAAATCTGCCTTTGGGTTTAGAAGGAGAGAGCCCAATATGGTCTCGGGCTCAAGAGGATATTGATTATATGGGTTTAGGAGATGCTAATTTTCCCCCTTCCTTAAGCCTCTGCCAGGGAGTCTAGAGGCAAGGGAGAACGAGAACGTTATCGGGGGTGTCTCCTTTGAATCATTTCTTTCAGAATTAATTACGGTGGAAAAAAAAAAAAAAGAAATCCAGGAAGTATGAGTCCTTACTAGAGATTCAGGGTAAAGCTCTGTCGGATACGAATCGAAGGAAAAGGGACCGAGTGATCAAAAAACATAATCTGGAGATAAAGTATTTGGAGTCATCGGTGTAATCAGGCAGGTCGCTTTCCGATTCAGATCTTAAGGTAAGGTGGTTGGCAGGACAAAAGAGGCTGAGAGGACTCTGTCTTTGGGGAAAAAAATAGCGATCCAAATTATTGGTGATGAGTCAGAGGCAGTGAAGGAGCTGGCCTTATTAGAGTTTGATTGTGCTTGATCTCAAATTCTCGTGTTTTCGATGGGAGGTATGTGTTTCGTATCTTGAAGACTCTCAAAGAGGTTATGTTGTTGCTGTTGGTGTCGTTGAAAGAAGCTTTGGTTGTTATTGATTTTGGTTTTCTGGGTTGTCGTGGCTTTTGTTTGCTGGGCGATTCAAGCATTCGGGAGGGATGCTGTTTTAAATCAGGTGGAAGCTAGTTTTTCGGTTCCATTTTTCGATTCTGTTTGGTGGCCTCCTTGTTCTGGGGTTTTAAGGTATTCTGTATTTCATGATTGCGCTTTCCTTGTTCTATTAGATTCAAGTATTTAGATTTTCCTGGGTGTGAGAGATGTTAGGTTTTGTTTTAGCTTCTTGGTGAGTCTTGGATTTAGCTCACTTTATTTTGGGCAGCATTCTTCATGTTTTGTTTTCGTTAGCTTCATTTGTGTGGGTCGAAGATCAAAAGTAGCAGATCGATTTTTTTAGTAGGCTGCATTTCTGTCTAGGTGTATATGCTGCAGCATTCCTAGTCTTCTCTTGGCGGTTGTCATCAAAAGTTTTTGAGTTTTTGTGTGCTGTTCAAGGTTTTAAATTCAAGGTGTATGGGTAATCGCTTGTTTGTTGCTTCTGGAGGGGTGAAATTTATAGGTTGGTCTGTGCTGCTGCTCTATAAGGTTATCTATGTTAATTATTTATGGGTGTTTATTTCTTAGGGAGTTCAGGTGATATGTGTCGGGGGCCTTGCGAAAATGAGAAGAAGAGGTGGTATTCATGGTTGTTTTGATCGTTTGTTTGGCAAATTTTCTAGGGAAGAAGCTAATCGTATAATTTGCATGGGAAGATTCCATGGAGGTTTATTTGCAAAGACAGATGTAATGTTATGAATCTCCATTTCTGTTTGTTTGCTTCAGGGGAGTGAAGTGTTGCAATCTCTTGAAGAAGGCTGGTTAATGTATGCTCTTTGATGGTGGGATCTAATCTATCCTTTGTTTTGCCGGTTTAATACTCTTGTCCATTGGGGTATTGTCCGGTGTTTCTATTTTTTTCAGGAGAATAAGTTTGTTGGGAGTGGTCCTATTGCTAGGGTTTTCTTTTTCTATTTATTGATATTAGTGTTTGATTTCATTTCAGTAGGTAGAAGAGTGTCTTGTTTGCAAGGTGGAGAGTTTGTGGAGTATTCATACTAATTGATATTTAGGGTCGCACCTAATCAAAATGCAACAGTTACTTTGAGAAGTTTGATTAGTAATAAAATTAAGAAAATAAACTTACCTTTGAAATAACGCATTTTAGTTCGACAATAATTTTACGCTCAGTACAATCATAAACTGATTCATTTTTGCATCTGTTCTCCTCGCAATAGAACTCATCATCAGAATTGTAATCATCTTCTTTTGAGTTCAAATCATGGTCAAAATGAGACTTGGTGAGGATTAAAGGATGAAAGTGGGATTTATGGGTTGTTTTTTTGGGTGCTGATGGAAGACATTGCAGATGGATGTTGAAATTACATGGCATTCATCGGAGGACGAAGGTGGTGCAATTTACACCACAATGATGGCAAAGAAAACCGGGTGTTTTGTCATAGAGAGTGAGAAGGTGTTGATGGCCCTCGTAAACAAATGAGGGTGAGAGCTCAGCACAATCCAAGTGAAGAGTAAATGCACACTGGTCACTGGAACAATCGTATGCAAAGGGGGATGAATGTGAATCAATGCGCCAGCAACATGCACCACGTCGGGGTACGAAATTTAAGTGATGTAATGGTGAGTTGGTGTTTGGGATGATAGGGATGGTGATGAAGGCGAGATTGATGAGGGAAATTCATAGCGCATGATCTGTATAAAAGGAAGTATTGGGTGCATGACACACGTCAATAATAGTGAGAAGAAGGGGCGATCCAAAAGGATTAAGGAAGTTGTTGATGTAGTTGTTCTTGATCTAGATATAGGCGAAAATTAAAGATTAAAATGGGGAAAGATTGAAAGATTATAAGGAAAATAAATTAAATTAAATGTAAAGAAAAATAAAGTAATTAAGATAGAACTTATGTGGTAAAATCAATCTCAGGCTACCACTTTATCTCAAATTTCGTCGATCATCGAATAGGATCTTGGCTTTGGATTCATACCGTTTACAATCTACAGTATCTAACCCCTATAACTTATTTTTCTCTCAATTTTATAAAACTGAAGTAAGAAACAAAATAATTCGAGATATGAGAGATGATGATTTTGAGCTTACCCCGATGGGGTATTCATACTCTCCTCAAACCCTAAAAACGACATTCAAAATAAAAGATAATTTCTTGAATTTGTTTAAAACTAAATCCTAAAGATAATTCTCAAAATATAAGGATAATTCTTAAAATATAAAAAGAAAATTAAAAGATAATCTTAATTCCAAATTTCAATTTGCGGCTGAGTTTTTTGTTTTCACAAAAACGCTGACTGGATTTTCTAGAAGATGATGACTGGATGTCACATCAAATGTGTCATGCTCATTAGTCTAGCCTTGATTTCAAAAAATAAAAACCGTATAATTTTACCCTTTTAGTACTGTTTCTGGAATCCAATGTTCTGCCAAAATCAGCAACATAATCTGATCAATAAAGGAGTAATTAACAACAAAATATTATCTATTTGAATCACTCATCAGTGCATGATGATTCAGTACACCTGAAAGTTGGTATGGGAGGTAAACAATTGTAAACATGCTGCACAGCGAGGTTGGTTTCCATATTGTACATGGTTTTGGATGAGTTCAAGTGGATGTGGGTGGCTTACATGTTGGATCTCATTGGCTTTCTTCAGATCCTGCAATACAAAAAACATGGCTTGTAGAAGAATACTTCGCCGAGACGATTTGAATGACATCTAGCGCACACACACACACAAAAGAGAATTAGAATGAATTTTGGTGAATGCATGGATGGATGAGATGATTGATCAACTTTGGTGGAACGCTGGCCATGCAAGAAGAAGAAAAGCTGAGCTCTTCATAATGGCGCAGACAACTTCATCTTTTAGCTGTTTGAAAAACTTTATTCTCTTACTTTTTATTTATGCTTAATTCACAACTGATTTTATGCCGAACTTGACATTACAAGCAAAGAAGACATTAGAGTGATTCCATACATAATTGACGCTCAAATTTATTATATCGAGTTTAAAATGTTAATTCAATTTAAAAGTATTCGATCGTAACTAAACCAAAAAAACTAGTGATAACTCAGATTTTCAAAACATGTACCCATCATGACTATTTTTAAACCACCTAAAAATTGTTTTAACACCAATATTTATGGTTGATTTCCCAAATTTATATACGTACTGGCTTACAACGAGCTAATTTATGAGAATAATACTAGAAACATTTTTTCGAGAATGGAATCCATACAAATTGTTTTTAATGAGAGTATCACCCTTTCGAAAAAGGTGCGCTAATGTGGAAGTGCCCTTTAAAAGACACGTTTTGTAGGGTACTCTTTTACATACGTAACACATTTTTTTGGATATATTTCTCTTACGCCGACGGGAAGTTTTGCCGTGAGACGGTTAAAATATGCTAAAAACGGCGTGATTGGTTAAACAAGTGATCGGTTAAAATCAATACCGAAAATGTTATATGATTTCACTAGAAATATTAATTGAGTTGGTAATAAAAATGATAATAACCGGTTATGCTATCGTCCTATGTAAAATGCGAAAAAAAAAAATTGACGATAACATAACCGGTTAATTACTAGAAACATTATCAAGCATAATAACATATTAGGTAGCTCTTATGTAACGTAATAAGTAGTGCCTTTTTAAAGCTGATAGAACTTTGGAAATCTGACGAAAACAAAATAGGTTAATTACTTAATTTGTTATTAGTATTATCAACATATTAGGTAACGCCTAAAATGTTACCAAAGTTTAAGCTGATAGAACCTTAGGAATCCGACGATAACATAACCGATTAATTACTGAAAACATTATCAATCATAATAACATATTAGATAGCGCTTATGTAACATAATATGTAGCTCTTTTTTAAAGCTGATCGGGCTTTGGAAATCCGACGATAACAAAATAAGTTAATTACTTTATTTGTTATTAGTATTATCAACATATTAGGTAACACCTAAAATGTTACCAAAGTTTAAGCTGATGGAGCCTTAGAAATCCGACGATAACATAACCGGTTAATTATTGGAATCATTATCAAACATAATAACATATTAGGTAGCACTTATGTAACGTAATAGGTTGCGTATTATTAAAGTTGACAGGGCTTTAGAAATCCAACGATAACAAAATATGTTAATTACTTAATTTGTTATCAGTATTATCACCATATTAGGTAACGCCTAAAATGTTAACAAAATTTAAGCCGATGTAGCCTTATGAATCCAATGATAACATAATTGGTTAATTACTTGATTTGTTATCAAGCTTTATCAACATATTACCATGTACATTGTTTATGCATATTATCATGATACTGATTGACTTTAACCGTTTTCATTGGAAATTAATCTATTGCTTTAAAGTAATAGGTTTTGAAATTATAAGTATGTAATATATATATATATATATATATATCATTACATTTTACGTGCAAATTGTTTGAGACTTTATGTGGAATTAACCAAAGTTAAAACTGATGGAGCCTTAGGTGGTGTTTGTTTTTGCAGAGGTAAAAGGTCTGCAGTCTGCGGACCGCATCTGTAGTAGAAGAGCTGGACCAAAAGTCTACAGTCTGCAAGAAGAAGACTGTTTGTTTTTTAACGTCTGCAGACTACTAAAATAAATTGAAATATAAATAAACTGATTTTTTAAACTTAAAAGAGTTTTGCAATACTGAGATTTAAATAATTTTAGTTTTACAACACTGAAATTTAAATAATTCATACAACTACAATAATAATTTTTTAGAAAAACAAACACCACCTTATTAAGTCTATTATAAGTCTCACATAATCACATATATTATTAGTTTTATAAGTTTTATAGAATAAAATTTATAAATGATCATTAAATTATATGATTTTTTTTTAAATATGCAATTATGTAATACTTTTAATTTTTTTAAATATATATTCATAGTTTATTTTTATAATTATATGATATTTTTAGAAACTATTTTATAATTTATCAAATTATTTTATGATTATTTTTTATTTAATTGTGATTATATTTTAAAATTTTAAAAACATAATTTATAATTTTTTATATTTTAAAATCTTAATTATCAAACAATGAAATCATTTTTTATTAAGCAATGTGGTTTAAATACTTACATTTTGTATAAAAAGTTTAAATATAATTTAAAAATAACAAATCAAAAAAAAAATATTATATTTAAACTTAAATCAACATAGTTAACATAAATATAAAATTTTAATAATATATAAAATAATTTATATGATATAAAATTAAATATCTATAATATAATATTAAAAATTTAATATTTAATTTATTTAAAAAATTAATATTAAAATTAATATCTATAATATAATATTAAAAAATTAATATTTAATTTATTTAAAAAATTAATATTAAAATTAAAATCAAATATAATATAAAATTAAATATAAAACCTCTTTGAAGAGGTTAGAAGACGTCTGCAGACATAAAACCACGTCTGCACCGTGCAGACCATGCGCAGACGTTAGAAGAGCTTCTGTCTTCTAAAAAATAAACGGTCTGCGAAGCCCAATGTCTGCGCGTGGTCTGCGTGGCGCAAACATAAGAGCTTTGCAGACCTTACACAGTAAAAACAAGCACCACCTTAAAACCGACGATAACATAACCGGTTAATTACTTGATTTGTTATCAAGCTTTATCAACATATTACCATGTATATTGTTTACGCATATTATCATGATACCAATTGACTTTAACTGTTTTCATTGTCAATTAACATATTACTTAAAAGTAATAGGTTTCGGAATTATAGGTATGGAATATATATATCGATACATTTTGCGT